AGCGTGGAAGGCCAATTTTGAAATTATTTCCCAGTCACTAATACTGAAATTAATTCTGCATGGATTAACAAGGATACTCCCAGACATTATATTTCTAAGTAATAGGGAAAGATTTAATGATAGACTGTAGAAATATGTTTTGCATAGTCAGACTAATCGTCTGCAATTAATCCTGTCCAATAGAGTCAAAGGTATATTTAGTAAGGTCCTAACAACTTTGTTGTACTACAAAGACCAAATTGGAAAATTACAATATAAATATATGCTGTGGGGTGCAGGACCAGAGAGGACAGAGGTGAATGCACTCAGATTTTTGAAGAAGCAGGCCAAGGTTAGAGGCTGTTGCAAAGGGGATCTTGGGTATGTTAATAAAGGTATAGTGTGTGATAGGAATGTAAGAAATGGGAGCAGGAGTAAGCCATCTGGCCCCTTGAGCCTGCTCTGCCATTCAATAAGATCATGGCTGATCTTTTTATGGACTCAGCTCCACTTACCTGCCTGCTCACTATAAACTTTAATTCCTATACTGTTCAAAAATCTATCTTTGCCTTAAAAACATTCAATGAGGTAGCCTCAACTGCTTCACTGAGCAAGGAATTCCACAGATTCATAACTTTTTGGGTGAAGAAGTTCCATCTCAACTGAGTCCTAAACCTTCTCCCCCTAGTTCTCGTTTCATCTTTGCCAGTGGAAATCCTGCTATTTTATCTATTCCCTTCATAATTTTATATGTTTCTATAAGCTCTCCCCTCATTCTTCTAAATTCCAATAACTATAGTCCCAATCGATCTCTCCTCATAAGCCAACCCTCTCAACTCTGGAATCAACCCAGTGAACCTCCTCTGCACCCCGCTCCAGTGTCAATAGCTTGATGTGGACAAGGTGGAGCATGTGAACAGTACAGGCACAGCACAGCATGAGGCCCCAGGATTGGGGAGTGGTGAGTTAATCCCCAGGCAGTTCTCACCCTGAAACAGCACCTAGCAACACAACAGAACGATGTGTTTGGCAGAAGAGGGTGCCACTCAGGCCCAATAGACAGTCTCTAGCAGTGAAATAAACTACAGAAATTAGGGAATAGGGATTCTCTGCTCTGCGCAACTGGATAACTCTGCAGCCATGAGAGAATGTGATGGAGGCTGAACAGCTGGGAGAACGGCAATGCCTTCCGAGGAGACGGGATGGATGTTTCAGGCGGGAGTGAATCTGTAAAGTTCTGTGCTACAGAGGACTGTTGAAGCTGGGTGGTTAAGTACATTCAAAACTGGAATAGATTTTTAATCTGTAAAGGAATCAAGGGTTATGTGGAAAAGGCAGGAAAGTAGAGTTGAGGATCATCAGATCAGCCGAGATCTCATTGAATGGTGGACTGAATCAATGGGCTGAATGGCCTACATCTGCTCCTATATGTTATGGTTTAATGAGAACATTGAGCAGGAGGAACCTCACCTTCCATGTAATAGAGCACAGGAGGATCAAGTGCAACAAAACAGAGAAGATTTAATTGATACTTGGCTCTAATAGATGAGAGCTGGGTGCAGTGACCACTACTGATTGTAAAACTTGTTGTCGATCCAAATCCAAGCAATCCCTGTCTGTTCCCAGAGGTAGATGCAGCTTCTGCAGCAATTGCTGACAACATGCTTCTTGAAAACAATTGTCAGTGACATCTTTCATCATTTGCTGATTATTGAGAATAGAAAAAGGACGGGCAAATGGCCAGTTTGGAATTGTCCTACTTTCTGTGGACAGGACGCACATGGGGAATTTACCACATTGTGAATTGATGTCAGTGTTGTGGTGATGGAACAACATAGCTAGGACGTGATGGCAAATTCTAGAACACAAGTCTTCAGAGCTAGAGCTGGAGTGTTTTCTGACCCATTACCCATGTTGTATCTAATGCCTTTGGCTATTTTTGGTACAGTGTGGAATGAATTGAATTGACTGAAGACTGCCATCTTTGAAGCTGACGATCTCTGGAGGAGGCCAAGATGGATCATTAATTTGCATGTTCTGGTTGAAGGTGGTTGGAAACACTTCAGCTTTGCCTTTTGCACCAGTGTGCCAGGGTACCTCATGATTAAGGACACGGATGTTTGTGGAGCCTCATCTTTTGTTATTTATTTAATTTTCCACAATCATTCATGACAGACATGGCAGGGCATTGATCCGATTTGTTAGCTGTGCAATGGGGTCTGTTCATAACGTGGTCCTATTCAATGTGCATGAGGTCTGCCCCAGCGAGCCTGGATGAACTGCATAAACATTGCATCATTAGGAATGATTTTTTTTGCAATTCTGTTGCGAATTTGAAAGATGAAATTTTCCCAATTGTTGCAAATATTGACGAATGAAAATACAAATCAAAGCCATTAGAAATGATTTTTTGGGGGATCACAGGGGAAGTGAAGGAGAAAGATCCAGGCCAGTGATTGCTTGATAACATTTAACAATTGTTTTTGATGAATACCCAAGAAAGATAGTATTTCAAACCGATGTCACAACTATAAATGTGTTACTAACTGTTTTTCCAGGAAAACAATATATGTTGATCCTGAATAAGTTGTTTTGTTTATGATAAATCAATCTTTGCACTTTTTTTTATTCATCCTTTGACCATGATGTTGCTGGCAAAGTCAGCATTTCTTGCTGGCCCCCAATTGTCCTTGAGAAGGTAATACTGGGACAGATACAGTCCATGTGGTTTGGGGACACACACACTGCCTTAATACAATGGTTTGATGCAATCCAGGGGCCTGACTGGCTATTTCAGAAGCAGTGAAATATCAACCACATTGCTGTGCATCTGGAGTTACAGTTTGGAGAAGACTGATTAGTTAACCAGATGGATTTTTACAATAATTCAGTAGTTTAATGGTCACTTTTACTGAGACTTATTTCAGATTTGTTCATTAATTTCAAACTACCCTTGTATCCACAGTGCACTTTGAACTCATGTCTCCAGAATATTAGCTTACCCTACTGGGTTTCCATTTCAGTCGTGTCAGATCTATCCCCCAAACCATAATTTTATTATGTCTCAAAAGCACATATATAACAGTGCAGATAAACTAGGACTTTGACAGAAGCAGAGTTATTTGGTGCACTAAGACTACCAAATATCCTTTCTGAAATATTCACTCAATTAATTCACCAGATCCCATATAATTACTTGAAATCAAACCTGCTCATAGAAAGACCCTAACTTGTGCATTTTTCAATCAATGAAGTGGCATGTTATATTTCTCAATATTGAGCTGTACAATGTCCATAACATAGAGATTTTCTGTAACAAATGCACATCTTCCTGTTTCAACAGAGGCTTCAGATGCATTTCCTCTGACACTTTCAACAGATGGATGTTCTGTGCTGTATTTTAAATGCAGAACTTACTTAACTGCAATTCTGATTCAGACAAATCTTTAAAGGATGTAAAGTTTCCATAAACCTATGTTATTTTAACAATATATAATCAGGTTTTTGCACATAAATTTTAACTAAAAACAAACTCTGTCATAAAAATAACATTTACCAAGTTGGAGTGCTTCCTGTCTCTGGTGAAGACAGCAACACAGAAGAAAGGAAGAATCGAGCGATAGCTTCACTGAAACAGTGGATTGTACATATTATTCTCTGCATCATTTTTGAATTAGCTGCATGATCAATAAAATGGTGAGTTTCGTATATATGGTGAAAGTCTTGACTTACTTTAATTTTTGTTGTCACTATTATCTTGCTTTATATGTTTTCCTATGTCTCATTTTCCTTGATAATCTGATCTAGCTTTCATTTCTTTCTGCATCTCATAGATTATTTTAAAGTTACATTTTCAATTCTGTTTCTGTTTTTCTTTGTTTTGTGTTTATTATTTCTCCTGCATGTTTATGTGAGATCTCCTCTGAAGCCAGATGAGGCTGTTCACAAAGCACAGCTTTAATTAACATTCTTTCCTGTGTGTTCTTTCATTTCTCTCCTTTTTGAGCACTACTCTTTGGTTGTCAAGCATTTTTACAATTTTTCATTTTCTGTTGTTGCTTGACCTTGCAATCTGTGTTTTATATTTTGTCCAGCTTTACAGGCTGAAACAGATACCTTTCTCTCCTGAAGACCATGTGATTTTATTCAAGGCTCTGTCTATTTCAGTTTTTCTTCCTCTCCATGTAAATGTAAACCACAGGTAACTCACCCTCACAGCCTGCTCTTTAGTTCCATTTTCTAACCCATTCACCAGAGATGAATTTCTTAAATTTATCCTTTACTGACTGTTTGCTGTCTCTAAAGATATTGACATTTTGCCTTGATCCTAACTCCTCATTCACAAAATTACATTGAACAAACACAACAACTGATTGCAATTGTTGAATATGAAATTCTTTTACTCACATGAAAAGGTTTCATAACTCACTCATGGCAGAACCATTGAATTAATACAGGCAATTGAAATATGTGGCTTAATTATCTATTGTCAGTGCTGCCCCCCAGTTCTACACCTCTT